CTTGTTGGCTGCAGAATACAAATAAATTATAACTAAGCACATTGTTAAATTTCATTTATGGACTAGGTTACATTTTCTCTTATAGGGTCTGAATAAATGTAATGAATATAAGAAAAAGCAAATACTTTATCTGAAGCAGAGGCGATGCGCATAAATTTCATTTAATTGGCCAATTTGCAGCTTAGGTTTACACAGCAAGTAAACAATAAGCAGGGCTACCTACAGGCTATACATAAAAGCTTTATATTGCAGCAACTAGAATAATATATTTAATGTTTTCAGTGAATAATAATGCTGTCAATAAAATATTTTTATGTTCATTTTTTATAATTCTTACATTTGAAAATAAAAGGTTTTTGTTAATGCAAAATTAATGACTTAAGATATGAAATAACAGCAACATAATCAACTATTAATATATTGTTAAAGACCCATAATAAGTCATAATATTTATTTTATAGGTTTATTATTAATTTGGTTTGGTTTGGAAATTTATTTGTTAATTTAAAATGATTAGCAATATAAAAAAATAAATAGCATGGCATTCAAACTTATTAAACAATGTTTATATTGGTCAGTCAGTGATGATATCTTATATCTATCTATCTATATTATGTTTCCTTATAGTTTTACTTTCCCAGTGTCATGTGTACATAACAAGGGAAAGTATTTGAACCATGTCAAAATCGACCCTCTGGGTATTTTGCAAATCTCCATATTTTGAGACTCCCTGAACCCAAAAAAGTGAGAAAAAATTTTACGGTTGTGTTTGTGCTGGCATGAATTTTATTTATTATCTTGGGATAGGGTAAAGATTATATTAGTAATTGTTTTAAATGGAAAAAAGCTAAATTTTGAAGGTAGAGATGAGTTTTATAAAAAAAAAAAAATTGTAGAAGCTAATAATTATATTTACACCAATGATGGGGTGTTGTTGTTTGCGCAAGAATTTTGCTGCTGTAATTATTTTCATTCCCTACCATGACCATTCATATTTGTAGCTGATTTGATTTTTGCTGTTATCATTTCTGTTAACAAAACATTTAATTTCTATTGAGACAATAAACACATTTTAATATTAAATATAAGTGTGGCTGCATTGAATATAAGCATACAGAAGACATCATTACACAAGACAAAATTATTTAACAAACAGAAATCAATATTGTCCAAGGACTTACCATCAACTTGGTCAGATTATAGAAAAGTACTCCAGTTTCTCTATACAGAATATTTTTTTACAGTTATCATAGAGGTCTATGAATCAGCCATCTAATCTCATCTCTAGACTTTCTATAAAGCTCCCTTGCTTTTGCACATTTCCAAGCAAGATAATTTATTGCAATACCAATGTACTCTATGCAGTTTTATCCAGTACGAAATCATTATTTTCTGTCATTGAAGATTATTAAAACATTTTAAAATTTAGTTTATTTCATTTTAAATTATTATTTCAATATTTTTTCACATAATTTTTAGTTTTCAATTAATAGTGTGTAAATATTGAATTAAAACAATCACTTTCCTGTCTGGCATTGCTGTCCTATACTTCCCTCTTACTATTAATAAATCGAACACAAAAAACTTTTTTGTGTTCGATTTTATTCTATGTTATGGTAACTGAAGAAGATCGTTAAGAAACGATCGAAAATGTTATTATATTATTAATTTTTATTAGCTGGATTATTAAAGGTGTGTTTTATTAATAGTATATTTATCCAGTTCGTTCGTTATATAAGTATTCCCTCTTACTAGCTTCCTAAGAGAAATTATTGGTAGTTCAAAAACATACAGTTGTAACTAGCACCATTAATTGAGAAATGGTAACTGTTGTATTGATGCCATTTAATTGATTTGAGTTTTCTGTTGAACACAAAAACTATAGAATATGAACACTTGTGATTTTCTATAATCTGAGAGGTAATTTAATCAAAATATTTTTGATACCATTTTGAAACATTTTTGTAGTGAAATTCTGGTTTTTATTCATTGTCTGCATTTGTATTCTAGTTTTTATACTTACATTTTAGAAGTCATAAAAAAATGTCATTTATTTGAATATTTTTTTAGAGATATATTTTTCTAATTCATAAAAATATTTAAAACTATTAAATAATTAAAATTACAAGGTGTGCGAAAAAAGTCTTAGAAAATTCTTTGGCACATCTTGATGTACTATGGGAAATGTGAGAATAATAATTAAGCAATTTATTTAAAGATATAATAAAATATTAAAAATTTTAAAAATGAACATATTAAAAGTGAGATTATAACTACAAATATATCCAAAATAATCATCATCTATATACAAATATAACTAAGCTTACATAAAATAATACAATAAATTAATTAAAAAGTTTACAATAAACTAAACGGATAAATGACATTTCTTTATGATTTTTAGAAAATATCAAAACAAAAATGTTTATAATTTTTCCACATCTTAACTTATTAACAAAATATTAAAATGTATCCACTGCAAGTTAATTTACCAATTAAAATAAATATTCTGTTTCAAAATAAATCTAAATACTTAATTACAAATACTTTCATTTTATGTCTTTCGTAGAGTATCATGGTTTAAAGTTTATGTTTCTTATAATTTAATTAAAAAAAATGAAAAAATAAAAAGTGAAACATGACATTTAATATGACAAATTTTGCAAAATTAAACATCCACAATGTCCACACAATAAAATATGAATACAGACACGGGAATTGGCCCTTTATAATATAACCACAAACAGCATTTACATTTTTCCTACAATATCTAAGAAAGAAAATTTTCTTACAAAAGATTAACTAGGATTAACATTTGACCAGAACCTGTAAGAAATAACATTTCCAGTTATTTATAAACTCAAAACAAAAATGTGTCTCCCCGTAGATAACAAACTATACATTTAATATTTATTATAATCAGCACAAAATGAATCACTTTACTAAAAAATATTACAAGTGATATTATATTTAAGCAACTCGAATATTAAGTAAAAAAAGAAATACAATATTTTTTTTGATTAAAATAATTTTGATTACAGTGTTTATTTTTGAAAATTAAGAATAAAAGACTATCAAATAACTTAAAAAGAATTTTATAATTAATAATATTTTTTTGTAGTAAATAAATAGAATTACTCAGATTTTTATCATTCAATGATAATACTTCAATAGAATTTTTAATATTTATGTTCAACAGCAAATTTGGAATGATTATTATTGACATATTGTTAATGAATTATAAATAAATAGTTAATTCTATTTTTCTATTCATCAATATGAATAAAACTGAAATATATTTATACAACTTACATGAACTGTTATGCAACTTAATCTATAGAATTATTTTTTGTTGTTTTGTTATTTAAAATTTCAATTTTAAAATCTATAAATTCTATGAATAATGTTGATTAAAATGACTGCCTGGTGTCTGCAGAAATTAAAACATTTTTGACAAGTTATGGCATTTTGAAAAGTTTCTTGTATTCACTATTCTATTGAACTTAAATGTTCAAAAGTAAAAAAGAAATGATGATTATTTTTGTACAATGTATGTTTAAGTATGTTTTAAAAATAAATATGCACACAGAAAAAACATTTATACTTAACTGTACTTATAGAATTGGCACAATTGTTATTTTGATGACAGAATAATATTATATCCCACTTTTCACCTTTTTTTCCTTATAGTTCACACAGTATGCTGTATTCATTTGATTTAATATTTAACTGAATATTAATAAATGCAAATGATCTGAAATTGAAAAATGCTTTCAAGACTTATACTTAAATATATAATGTACTTTTATAAATATCTTAACATGTTTGAATACTGTTTAAATTAGATTAAAATTATAAAGCATATAGAAAATATTTTCAAACATCACACCGTTGTTCATATACTGATATATTTGCTTAACAAAAAAAATGAACAAAACTTTTTTAAACAAACATATCTATACGATTAATTTCATTTTCTACAATGAATAAACACTTATCATTGTTTACTTCTTGTCTTTGTAGGGGAGAACACATCACATTCATTACAACTGATGATACTGTATTCCTTGGTGTTTGTGGAATGGTTTATTTCCCATCACAAATGGATTTCAATCCATTTCTGGAGGAAGTTTTAAGTGCCACAGATGAAAGAACTATACAAACATTTAATTCACGTGAAAAATTTATCATATTATTCTAATTCCGTTATGGTAACAGATGATGTATGAGAACTTTGTGGCCGGATTTTTGGAACTGGGTTTTCACAGTCTTCTGCTTCAGTAATAACAGGTTCTTGAGTGGAGTCTTGTGGAAATGAATGATTGTGTTGAGACTGATGTGGGTTAGATATTGGAGTTATTGTTACTCCGTTGCCTATGTTGAATCGAGGCACATTTGTATTTCCGGGGGTACTAAAACGAAAAGTAGTCCTGTTGTTGTTGTTGTTGTTTAATAAAATGTTATTTCCAGCCAGTCGAATAGCATGACCTCTCAGAACAGATGATGCATATGGAGCATTATTTACTGGTAGTCTTTGGCTAGTAGTAGTTATAACAGGTAC